TGTTTTTTATTTTAATTCTCAGTTCATTTGTTGTATGAATTGTACTTGCTGTAAAATTAAAAGGAAAATCAAAAATTGTCAGGTTTGGTGGATGTTGTGGACCCAAAAGCAGATTAGAAGGAGGCAGAGATGAGTTATTGCAGGTTTAATGTAGAACGCAACAGAAGCAAAAATCAGGAGCCCAAAAACCAGGAGAGGCCAGGAGAAAACACACATGTGGAGAAACTCAACAAGAAGAAACCAGCACTGAGGAACTTCACAGGAGGTGTATAAATGGGAGAGAGAAAAAAAACTGGGGTAATCAGCTGATAGGGAACAGGTCTAGATAGAAGCAACTAGAAGCTAGGGGAAAGAAAACAGAGAGCAACACAAAAAAACTAACACTACTGAAATATAACTAGAAAATCACTGCATAATATAAAACCAAGAAAAGGGTCAAATATTTTGTTTTTCACTCATCTATACTGTGTTCAAGTGTTTTTAATACTATGTTGTTTTATGTCATACATATTCTTTTAGCCTGCAGGGTAGCAAATTGATCCTGCAGAAACATTTACTTATCCCTTACAAAAAAAAAAAGAGCTTCTTTACCAAGTCTTTGGGGCCAGTGTGTTTATTTCCCACTTTAATCCTTTGGAATCTGATTTTGTGACTAAATGCCAAAAAACTGCCAGGAACCCACCCCCCACCCCCTATGCGTGTACACAGGATTAAGTGAAGAGAGGAACAATATTATTCAACATCGTGTGACTCAAACACTCTTATTACTATAACCTTTGATCAGACTCAGCTCTCAACAAAGACAAGTCCATCCATTATCAAGTAATCGAACCTTTGGGTCCATATTGCATGCCATCTGTTAGAAAAGGTCTTAGAAGCCTGTTAAGTGCTTTGAAAAACTGCAGTCCTTGGCCCCGAATTTCATTGACAGACTGACACCTTGTCACGGTTCTCCTCACGCACATCTAAACCAATGTAGCAGATGGCCTGAAAAAATAAATGCATGCCTAGTTGAGGTATAAAGATGTCAGGAAAAGTTCAGTTCTGTGCTGCACCATATGTTACAGCCCCCAGGAAGGAAGGAAGTGCATGTGCAGCAGGTATCAGATGTGTAAACACAGCGCTGATGGCTTTGGACGGCTACCTGCGTTAGAGAGACCCCCGGTGGGTGATGGATACCTAATGGCTGTGAGAGGAAAGAGAGCCCTCTTTTGTGTGTCTCTTGCTGAATAATTTTTCATCTTGACCCACGTGTGGCATAAAAAGTATTTCTAAGACCCAACAGAGAGGAGGAAAGCAGAGGGACAGAGAAGAAAGCAATGATTGTGGCCCAGAGCAGATTCCTGGCTCGGGTCCAGTAAGATCTGGCGGCTGCCCACTGAATCAGATGCATTGCTCAGATGGGACCACCATTAAACATCTCATCTAAAAAAAGTGTTTCACCCATAACACATTTTCAGAGCTATTTTCTGCCTAGCTCATGTGTAATTGATTTCCTTAAAGTCATTTCAGTGCACTGTTTGGTTCATTATGCAGCACATTCTGCTCTTCGAGTTTGCGAGAGCTTTTGGTGATTTTAAATCCTATTAAAGACTGCGAAGAATCTTGCCATGCCATTTGTCTTGCTTCTGTTTCAATGATGTGAAATATCACCTAAAACAGTGTTCCACTGAATCACTGTTATGTCTGTCTTGCACTTAAGGGCGGACCTGTAGAAAAGTAAAGATAAATTAACATAAAACCTTTAAGACAAGGTCTAAGAAGCATTAAGTTAAACTCAATAGCATTTCTGATAAATGTTATTTCTGAAGTAGATACCAGGGCAATAAAACCCCTACTTATGTTTGAAAGAGGTTGTTTCTGTTGGATTCATGCAGCAGTTATGCTCTTTACTCACAACATTCCACCCACAGCCAAACTGCAGATTTTCTTTTTTTTGCACAAGGTAATTACACTTGTAGGTTCTCTACAGTATATTTCAAAGTGACAAGTACCCATTTTTCTACACATCAGTGGACTATTGGGAGGAAATTACACTTAAGATTAGGTCTAGGGGCAAAAATGGGTTTCTCTGTTACTTTCATGCACACAGCCGCTCTATCAAACACGGGAATTTGTTACACGGCGAAGCATTACAACCTGCTCCATATGGAGAGAAAAACTGCAGCAAATTGCTTGTGAAAGGTGCAGGGAGGCAATTAAACATGCAAAATGTATGTTATAGAAGAAAAAAAAATGCTAAGTACTTAACAAGAGCAGCTGAACGTCTTCTGAAAAAAAAGGAAAAACTATTGATATTTCTGGATTTGGAGGACATTTATCCACAAACATAAGCATGTTGCATCATAATGTTATGATGTTCATTAACTCCGGAGGAAATATTCTTTAGGATTTGCATTAGCACTTTACTTTGATGATTTCCTAAGAACATTATGTAAAACAAATAACACTTGGGTTTGTTTTCATGTTGCCACTTAAAGTGCATTGTAATTACTATAGCTATACTGCTTGTGTTACTTCTTCTGGACGATATATTTTGAGACATAAACCATTTTGAGAAACTATAAGGATTTTCTTCAAGGTAGCCTGAACTAAACATTAGGAAGACAGCAACTATATCATACTGAGGTTCTCAACCTGAAGTTCTTGATAAACAATAACACTATACTTTCAAGTAAGGAACAGATTCTACAATTTACTTAAGTACAAAAGTCAAACATTACTTATGTTTTTGCCCTTAATGATAAAAGGATAAAATATTTCTTTTAAAAGCAGCTATTAAAAGTACGTCCATGCAGAGAAGTTAGGTTAGTTTTCCTCTTTGTGTTCCTCCCTACCAACTGTGCTGGTAGAGAGAACATAAAAAATCCAGACTTGGTCTAGTTTTGCTAAATTAACATTTCAGACAGATAATATAGATTAAACTGAACACAAGTCTATATAAGCTATATAAGCAGTTGCATACCTTTACAGCTCTGGGATTTATCACATTATTAGAGCTGAAAAAGCATTAAAATTAAAATAGACCTTGAAACATAATCAAGATGCAAATTTCAAATCAAAGACAGGAGCAAAGGATAGGAAATATCTCGCATCTCAGATTCTGAATCAATTGTCTGCTATATTTTCCAGACCTGCCTTTATTCATGAGGTAACAGTATTTTTCTATGAACTGTTCAATCTGAGGGCCTTTTGTACCAAAATAAGGACATTTAGCTGGTCCTCACTTCCTTTTTTTTTATTAGCAATTGGGTTAAGCACTAAGGTGTCAAAAGTGTGTAGATAAACAATGTAAATTGTTAGGTCAATTTTTATGGTTAAGGCATTGGAAAGGTTTAAAAATGTATGAAACTCAATGGGAGTCGCCACATGGTCCTGATGACATAAAGCACGATAGAATTGTGTGTCTGTGTTTGGCTCATCAATAGTTTATCTGTTTGTTTTGTTCGTTTTCAGTGAATGAATATTTGAGATCATGTCAAGTACTTTGAGTTGTCTTTATTGAGTATAAAAATTATTCTAAATAAAGGTGGACGCTTGAAGGTTGGAGTGTCATTTGCAGACTGCTGAAATTGTCGATAAACAATAACACTACACTACAGAGTCTGCAAAGTTATTTCTGCCCAAAAAGTCCACAAACCTATAAGGAAAGACTCTAACATACATATCAGTTATGATTTGTACCAAGGTCCTTGTTCAGGGACCTGCAAAAATAACTTGAAAGATAATAATCATGGGAATCAATCACTATTGATTACTGTAGCACAGGCATAAAAAGAACAATAATTATCTAAACAAAGATGCAAAAATGTGGAATATTGTGAAAAGCCTCATGATTGTTTATAGGCTTTTATCACTTTTTACCATTTGCATTCTCATACTTAATAACAGAATATCCAAAATGTAGTCAAATTTAATCAACTCGTTTCCAATAAAATCTTATGTGATTCTTAAAATATTCTTGAAAAAACATCAAAAGCAGAAGATAATTAACTTTTTGTTGGAAAGGTTCGGGGAGGGGGAGGCAGGTGAAGACAGGGAACTAGAAAACCTCTTTTGAAGATGCTAACTTTATGCTTATGACTTGGAGCTTTGGGCTCAAGCTGCAAGCCGATGAATTCTTTCAACCTCCGTAGCTGTAAGTTCTGCAAGCGGTAATCCAGACGTATAGCTGACAAGTACTGAAAGTGATCAGTGAAACATTTTGTCTGAGAGGAGGGAGATATCAGAGCTGGCAGGATGTAGGGGGTGCAGAGAATATGGATGAAGCAACAACAAAATGGTTTCGCCTCACCATCACTTTCATTTCCCCTGAGGATGGCTGAGTGAAAATGGCTGTGAAAAACATGTCGGCTTACTCCGAGAGACACTGTATCATCTATACAGAAGAGCATAAACAAAGCTGAATAAACTGTCTTAAACGCAGGATGTGATTTTTCCCATTTCATTTTAGGATCTGTCTGCACAGGCTTGTGGTTTCCATTCTCTGGGGCAGCAGCAAAGAACATTTTTGGCAAAAACATCTCCCAGTCCAATAGGCTGACAAGGAGGTTTTTTAATATAGTACATTTCAATACATATATCAGCATAAATTCATTTTTGAGATCTTTAAAGGCCTTTAGATCAAGGTTAATCAAGGTTTTTATTATTTAGGTATTTTGCTTCCACTGCTTTCTGGTAAGTTTCATTTTATTATTGATAAAGAGATATGTCCCTCCTATATAACATTTCTTTTCCACAATCTTTTCTACCATATGTTGATGACAAAAAAAAACAAACACATTTTTTTCTGTCCTTAAGAATGGTGCAATCATCCTTTTAATGAAATTGGCTTTAAAAAGGTTTTACACCCCCAAAGGATATAGATAAACACAGAGAGCAGCATGTAATCCCCCAATCATAATTAAAACCCGATAATCACCAAAATTAGACGAACAGGGATTTGCTTTTATCACAAAGCGAAGCTTTAGATGCTCTGTTTGTTGATCGTTGTCTCTCACCTGATCGGAGCTGTTTGATGCGACCCTGGCTGAGGCTGGGGTCGACGGGGAGGAAATCTTTGAACCAGGAGATCTCCGGGTCAGGGATGCCGCTGGCAGCACAGAGCATGGTGGCTGTCTTTGTCCGCTCCACTACCTTCAACTGGGGACCCATGTCTATGCTGGGGAAGCCAAACGGCAACAGGTCCTCTAGAATGAGCAGAAAGCAAGAGCATTTTTTCCATATTAATGCATGGGTTAGTCTACTTTCCTGTACAGTAGGTACAATTTTTTTTAGTTGATATCAAAGTTTATGGAGTACATTTGGACCAGAGCTTATACAGTTTCCTTCACATTCAGTGCAGTAACCTGATCTTACTCTTAAATATTCAGAAAATGTAGACTCTAATTTGACTGCATAAATTCAGTCCACGGAAAACCCTACAAAAACATTGTTTTCATTTTTTTCACAAAATTACCCTAAATTGTAATCTATGACACCTCGTTTCTTTGTACCTGACTTTTCATTGATGTCCTAGCCACTAGTCAAAATAGGATACTGGTTACCTTGCCAACAGTGGATATGCATTGATCTTTAGAAATCAGAAAATGAAAACAAATTACAGCTTAAACCTTCCATATAAGAGCAAAAGCAATGTTATTAAACACTTAAATTCAAAATTATGTAGAACTGTCACAAGCAAGGCTCAAAAAGTAAATCTAAAAATACATAATAGCAGTAAAAATAAATATATTTCAAGGCTTTTTACACAACATCTTTTCTACTTTACTTAGGACTGCAGAGCTTTGGTGTCATCGTTAATTACAATGACCATTTAAGACCCTGTTACCGTGCGACAGACTGGCGACCTGTCCATGGTCTACCACGCCTTACGCCACCGGCCCCACTGTGACCCTGACAGAATAAGCGTTGGAAGATGGATGGATGGAGCCTGTTACCAAAAGAGGCTTCCAGACTATTCCATCGTTTATCAGCGGCTGAAACTGTACGTGCTTGCTTAAACACTGATGTGAGAGACATTGCTCCTTCCTGTAACATAAACCATCGGATGGGGAGATACTGGTGTAGACAGCTGAACCAGTAAAGCCTTCAGGACAAAAGCCGCAGGCTAATACTCACAACAAGCCTCCCTGTAGGTGATATAGCAGGCGGGGAAAAAACAGACAGAATTTCAGATGTGTCAGACAGGCTGTTTTATGAAGAATATACATATACAGCCCAGTCAGCAGGAGTTACTTCACTGCTGACACATACACACACAGAACACACACATACAGTACTGTGAAAAACTATTTTCCACCTAACAGATTGCTTCTGTTTTTAATTTTTGGTAACAGATCCAAAAAACTGAGCATTAGACCAAGACATAAATTAAAAATAAAGTAATTTAAAAGAGTAGGTTTAAAATAAATGTTGCAATCACTGAAGGAAGAAAGAGGTCCAAATTAAACCATCTGTATGTGAAAAAATAAATAAGACCCAAAAAACAGATAAATAGTAATTCCTCCCATGAAACACCAACTGCCATCAATAGTTTTGATAACTGATAATGATTGTTTGACATTGATGTCAATATGTTTTTGCCCTTTCTTCTTGCTTTTTATTTTTTCCAAATTTTTATATTAAGACTGGTACGTTTTAGTCCAAGAGCAGTCCAAAATTATTCCCTTAAGGGTATAGAGGACGAAGTTTTCTGGGTGGATAAGCTAAATAAGTGGTCCTCCTAATTGTCAATCATTCTGGTGATATGTTTACGTGAGGCATTCCTACGTGCTCGTCCCGTTAGCTATCCTTCTCTGCGCATGCTCACTTTCAGGCGTATATGTGTAGTATTCAGACAGTCATTGAAGCTCACCTTTGAAAGTGTCATGAGAGAAAGTGTCTACGAAGTGTATGAGAAGAAAAGACAGACCTCAGAATAGGCAGATATATCCCGGAATGCTTCGCGGAGAGCTCTCCTTGCAAAGCATTGTGGTATTTGATGTCACAGCGGCCCGCTGTCACCATAATAGGCTGTCACTACCTGACAGCGGCGACTTAAACAAAGCTATAGGAGGCACCGCACAGTGGAGGAGGAGTTACGTGAACAACGGGGAGCAAAAAGCAGTGATTATCTGTCTGAACGGTCAGTTAACTGAGTTCATTATAAAGTCCACTATATATTCCCCGCTTTATATAGTGATTAAGTGTTTAGGGAACAGGACCGACGTTTGGGCACAGTACGCTTGTATAAGCTACAGTATGAGAACAGCATTTTTAAACAGAGCGTGCAGAAATATGGTCTCTGCATGCTCTCATATGCGTTTAATAGGTGTTCGGGAGAAGGTACAGGTTTGTGCATGAGCATTTTTCTAATAAATGGAGAGAAAAATTTGCGAAAATCCTCCACAGTGCCTTTAATGGATAAGTGTGAAAGTTACAAACATAGCATTGGAAGCTAACCTCTCAAGGATCACATAAGGTGCCCGCAGCATCTTCAGGAGGATTTCATTATGTTAATCTTATTGAATATTTAAGCATTCAGAGATTTCAATTGAGAATATTTAACAGAAAATTAAAAGAAACAAGAAAAATATGTTTATTATGTATGAAGTTTAGGTGAATGCTCAACCATCCAGTTCATAGGTCAGTATTGGGAGGCCTTCCTATGACTCATGAAGAGCCCTAAGCCTTAAAAAGGTTGCTGACCCCTGCTCTAAACTCTCTATGGATGCCATTTTAGCCCAGTTTGTTGTTTAGTCATGAGCGCTGACATTAGCTCTGGCAAGTAAGGCTAGGAGGGCTTTAGATGCTGTTTTTCGATCTCCTGTGATCTCTTATACAACTTGTCAACAGGCTCCTTAAGTCATTTTAGGAATCCAGACACTCCTGGGAAGGGCCCCCACTGTTCTCATCTGTTTTTGTATTTCATAATGTTAGAACTGTATATGTTTCTGGGATGTGATTATGTTTTCATATAAGACTATGTAGTTTTTAATAACTTTTTCTCAAAAAAAAAAAGGAAAATCATTACCTGAATATTAAATTTTTTTAATCTACCGAATATTAAACTTTTCTTTGATCATTTGAAACATTAGCTGTGATTAAAAAAAAGGTACAATATAAAGAGATCCAAAGGGACAAACACATTTCTATGTATATAAATGCTACATACTAACTAACCTCAAACTTGATTGATTGGCATTAACTCAGTGTTTAAGAGGTGTGGTCCTGTGTTGGCGTTTCGAAGTGTTTCCTGTCTAATAACTATGCAGAGAGCTGTTCAGAAACAGCAGCAGCAATTAGAAGCTGGGATCAAGAGGAGGGGCAGGGCACTAGGGGTAATAAGGACTTGTTAGCAGTAATTGTTAAAATGTACCAACGATTAGAGAGGCCATTCTGGGATGTGTTTGCATGTGTCTGGATCTGTCTGGTTACACAGAGGGGCAGTAGAAAGGTGTGTATGTGAAAAGCTACATTCCTCCTAAACATCAGTGCAGAATATTTGACCATGTTTAGAATAATGCTGCATGACATGTCCACACATATGCATGAAAACAAAAGTGTGCACTTAAGGTAGCAATTGCTTTCTAACACAAACATGGGCTAAGCGCACTTGCATACATTTTCTCTGTTGATGGGATTAAGTATCCCAGTGACAGGAGTCCAGATGGCCAGACACGTATTCAGGCATCCATCAGCCCACCTGTTTTCTCCGCTCCTTTTGCCCTTTTTAAACTACACACTCATTTCCATACACACTAACAACTATTTTGTACCTGCATATATAATAATTTTGCTGTACAGAAATGATGCGACTTGTTTAACAACAAAGTGAAGCTTATGGAGAGCCGTTAGGTATGTGTCCCTGGAGTCAGGCGTTGCCTCAAACCTGCAGCCGCACACAGACCAGTAAGGACTATGACCGCATCAACTGTCTGCATCTTTTTCTTCCTTCCTCTCCGGGCTCCCTGCTACCTAACTGCATGACAGACACACACCATCTGTTTGTGTAAGCTCTGGGTTGGGGATGAGAGGCTGAGTGGAGATAGGATCTATCGCCCTCTTCCTCTCTTTCCACAGCCATCAGCACTAGAGAGAGACACTGTCAGATAGACACATCATTCTGAAGCTGACACTGTGAGGAAGACATTGGTGGAAAATGCCACGAAGTAAACTGAGTGGCATCAAAGCTTGGAGTAGAGCCCAGACATGAAGGTATCCGCATACCAACCCTCCAACATCACAAAACAGAATCTACCTCCAACTTGTCCAGGCTAATGATACACTTGAAAAAATGTCAGTAATTTCAAATCATTAAGGGAGAAAAAAAAGAAAGGAATGGGGGGATAGGAATCGATTGGGCAGGTCAAGAGTTTAACCCCCCCAAGGAAGGTTGTGAGGCTACCACCCCCGAGGCAAGGAATATGCTAGGCCTACATCTGCTCCTCTTTTTATCACTCCGCCAGCTACTACTACATAGACTCCCTGGCTGTTAATTAGAGCGCACCAATGCACTAGGTTTAGGGCATAAACATATGTGTGTGTGCGTGTCTGTAGGGGGTCTGGCTCTGTATTGCAGACAGGTCTTTATAAATGCTGCAGAAGATGGCAGCGTGGGTGGACCAGAGACTGAGTAATTATACAGAAGTTTGAGAAACAGGCAGATATGATGCCATGCCTTAGTTTGGTTAAACAAAACAGAAAGAAAAAAATGTCTGAGGTTCAAAATTACTTTAACATACTATGCAATTACCTTTAGTAAACTTTAAATTTAATAAAACTTTAAAAGAAATTTTAAAGAAGAAATATTTAATCTACTCATTATTTAGCATTTCAGCCAAGATATGATATTTTAAACAGATAACACATGCAATTACGATCTATAACAGTTAAATAAAGTGGTATTTAAAACTACAAAATTCCTAGTATATTTAAACTTAATGCTGTGGTGTTACTTTTTTCCTCATCTGGGACAATGAAACGGCAAAGTTCATGTGAAATATTAATAAAACAGATCATTTAAAAAAATCTTCCAACGGGTAGATGCTGTGAATGTGCTAGATTTACCTATCTTACTGAATAAAAAGTGTTTACAAGGTTTTACATGTGCTTTTTTAAATAATTCTTTTGAAATGCTCCTCATGCTTAAGATGAATTTTAGTAATTTGATGTGTTATGGATGTTGAGTTCTTGTGGTCTTGAGATT